GAGGAAGGATGTCATGTGGAATGCTTCAACCTGAACGTCGTATAAAAGTCAAACGACTGCAGTACAAACGGAATCAGCCTTCATGCATCTTCGCGCAAAATGAAAGTCTTCCCAACAATGTTATCTCAGGAGATTAATCTAAACCCACTTACTGTTCGTATATTCCATTTATTACATTAAGGATATCAATGACCTCCCTAAACTCTCGTTTCCTTGGTTTTTCACCGCATAAGGTCCTTCTTATTGTTGTCTTCCGATTGATCTAGTGTCCATTCTGTGCGATGTGTTCCGGTACTTTCGATTTTTTGGTATCCATTTTCTGATGAAGACTGTTACTTTATTCGTAGATGAGTAGGTTTTTGAGACCTGAATATCACATTTTCTTAATATAGGTCGTAGCTTTTAATTAGTTCGCATAAAGATAGGCGCATCCACTTTTGTAAGTCCTTTTCTATCCCTATTTTCATTTCATAATCCCAGTCCTGCTATCAGCCTTTCACAGCCCATATGTTTCTTTCTATTACTTCTCCCGAGTATACGTTGCTGAGGTATATTCGAGTCACTTCGTCCACTTATTCAGCGCCGAATTCCATTTACGTTTAGCTTAGGCCTCTGATGATCAAACCTCTCATTATTCCGAACTTCAGTCTGTAGTTGTGATCAAACTGGAAATTGAGTATTATCCCGTGATATGGCTCCTTCCTGAACAAATTCTTCTTGAGTCTCATTTCGAGCGAATGATTCAACACCCAGGAAAGGTAACCACTCCTCTGTATATACTTCAATTGGGAATTTGCTTCTTCACATTTTTGTTTTCCATGCGATCAAGGTGCGAAGTAGTCGTCCAGGTACCGCATGAACCATCTTGGTTGCAGTGGTTGTGTCTTGAAATCCACTTCCAATTTATTCATGTATATGTTTACCAAAAGAGGTGAGAGCAGCGATCCCATAGGAAGTCCCAATATTTGTTCGTGGTTGCTGCCGTTGAATATGAAGTAGGTAGTCCTTAGTGCCAAGTTGATTATTCGTGTTGATATATCCCTCCTGATCCTTCCTGCTTTCAGGATATCCTCTTCTCGGTCTAAGATCTTTAGCAGGGTCGTTATCGCTTTTTCTTCAGGGATATTTGTGTACACCAAAACTTACCAGTAATTATGTTCCTTCCATTGTGATGTTTTTAACCCTTTAAGAAAATTCATATAACTTATCACCATATTTGATAGCCTGTGGTTCAACTTCCTGAGTTTCAAAAGTATGAAGTCTGCCAATTTGTGTGTTGATTCATACTTTTTTTGTCTCTCTTATCATAGTGAGTAAGTTCGTAATCACTGCATAGGACACCAACCCTCCAATGAGGCTCACTTACTCTTTGAGCAAAATTACTTGATATTTTATGTATCGAGTACCCTAATATAATTACAGTCTATTGATTCATCATTATAAGCCACTAAGTTGTTCGGCATTTAATAAGGGCAAATGCAAGTAATCTTTATAAATATAATTAAATAAATAAATACATACATACATACATACATACATATATATATTCTGCTTGTTGGCCATATTGTTTGAAATCTATAGATAATATGATGTAATATGTAAAGGTTGTATTTTTTTATTGACGTTTGGATGGGATGGGAAGATGAAGATAGCGAATGAACGAATCATTTTATTGCTCCGATTATACCTCGTTTCGCAGCATTGTCGGGGTGACAGAGAACTTGTAGGACGTACCCATTCCTATGCCCTTTGCCGTAGTATTAATAATATTTTCCGACACTGGATAATTGGCATAGTACGTTACCAGACTTTTTGCAGCCATCATCAACTATAGATGCCAACCTTAAGACCAACTAACAGTTCATCAAAGCGACAGGTCTGATTTTCTGTTCGGCCGTTGTGATATTTCTTCTTACCCTTGCCCTAGCTCCCACTATTTAATCCTCATTTCGGAATTTCACTCATTATAGTCTAGTTGCCTATTTACACCTGTCTGTGTATTTGTCTGTCTCAATGCCTCCCAAGAGTGACACTTGAGATTGATTTTGTAAAGGGACATCACCGTCACCGCCGGCAACAAATGCTGCCCGCAGGATATCTGGATCCCAACTAGAACTTCCAATAAGCCATCCACTTCGCTCGCCATCATTTGTCTGCAGCACTCAAAAATAATTCTCTTATCCAAATGACTTCCTATAAACCATAGTTTCTATATAATCACTGTTTTTGGCTTCCTTTTGAATTGTCAGTGTTGAGGTCTACGACTACATTTTTCCACTTCTGAATCACTATATCACCAAGATGCCACTCAGTTTAGTGTGAGAAGATGAGTTAGTAAATATTCTTGTAAGGCATCTCATGAACAATGCCCCCTACCCTCGCGCACCCTTGACGCGTGTACCAGGGGCAATTGGAATTGCGCCACCAACACCTGCTGCAGTACCTAAGTGGATCTAAAGTAAATCTAGACTCTGAAATTCGCAGCCCTAATGGTAAACTATTCAGACGTTTATGATCCACCTATTTGTGCCTCCAGGTGCACCAACAACGGGAAGTTTTAAAACTCATCATAGGCCTGACCACTCTCACTACAATCGACTTGTCTTGAAGTCCATTCGCCTCTTAACATTTTCATTCACTCCATTTCATTCAGGTGATTCCCCTGACCTGGTTGTCTCCTTTTAGCTTTTCTAGTAGAATTCAGAATTTATCCAAATTTCCTCAGACAGTAAGAGAAAATCTAAGGTATGAAGACCACGATGGTGTGGCCTTTTGTGTGGTCGCAGTCTCCTTTCGTTGTATAAGGGTTGTTTGACCTTGTTTTCGCAACATTGCCACATTGGTAGGAAGACTTAGAGGAACGCACCTAGTCCAGAGTCCATTGTATGCATGATCATTTCCAAACTCAGACCATGGACGTGGTACTTTCCCAGACGTTTCGCAGGCATCGTAGTCGGCATCGTCAATGTGTCTCTTAATTTTTAACACCACACAACAACTCGTCAAAGAGGAAAGTGAAGCCGATCTTTTGACAAAACGTGTGTCAAACAGTTGTGGTATCTACCCTTCTGCCCTAGACTATTCACATTTCCCATGTCCTCCTATCACGCCTTCACTGTTACAATTTTTACATGCTTATTGAGAGGTAGGGTGATGTGCTCCTTTGAGCGGCATTCATGAAAACCCTTTACACTCCACGCTGTCGTTCTCAGCCCCTTCACCCTTGTGCTGGGAATGTTGATCAGAGTCTGCCATATTGTTACGCAGTTCTCCTTTCCTAGGTCTTATCACAGTCTCTCTCTGGCCCCGTAAGATCTGTCTGCTCTCTCCTTGGTTCACGTATTTCACTCGACCCTTGCCACCTCATCTGTGCTACTCAAGGCGGTATTTGCCCTCCGCTTCGTCTGGGTGGCTAATTCGAGGCTCAAGCCTCTGAGTAAGTCCCATCATCAAGCCTTTGCTCATGGACCACGTCTCTCGTAAGACAAACTGTCAGCCGACTAGCTCCAGTCTCCGCCGCGTCTATCCTGTTTCTATCACTAATACCAAGTCTATGACTTGGTTCATGTAGCAAATGCTTGACTGTGAGACTTACTCAAAGGCTTGAGCCTCGAATAAGTCACTCAGACATAATGGAGGGGTAATAACGCCTCGAGTAGCACAGATGGGGTGGCAGGGGTCGAGTGAAATACGTGAACAAGAGAGAGAGAGCAGACCGATCTTACGGGGCAAGAGAGAGACTGTAGTAAGACCTATGGAGGGAGGACTGCGTAATAATATAGCAGACTCTGTCAGGTTGATCAATCGTGTTAACGATTCTTGCGAAGAAAAGTTGGGTTTCGAAGAATCTCTTGATTCATAATTGTTGAGCTTACTTCCATTTTGAGTGAAAGTTTTAAGTGAAGAGATTCGAAGGTAGGTTCCACCAGAAGACGACGGCGGATTCTTCTTGACCAGCTGTCGATTGGCTTTACTGGAAGCTTCATGCTGACGCTGTTTCCGAGGCAATCTACTTCGATTCCGGTGAAAAGGTGCTAAGCTTTTCTCCGTCATATCACGAACATCATCAGAGCAAGGTATAAACGTCACAACAACATTCAAGCTAACAAGTTAAGAAAACTCACCGGCAAATCCCTAAAAAAGTATACTCTACATCTGGCCTCTTTGATCAAGTATAAAGTGATTTGGTTAGTTAAGGTCATATGTCAACTTTGATGCCTGTGAGTGTGTCTGTCTCGGTATGTGTATGTGCCTGTTTGTGTTCGCTTATGCACGAAACCCACAGTGATGGCTCAAAGTAATTAGGACAGCAAAAAAGGAAAGTCTGTTTTTGGCCATCAAGGTTTGATGACCCCTATCTCCCCCCTTTTACATTTAAATTATACCCAACACTCTGATTTCGCAAGGTCTGACACACGTCTGGTTTTGTTGATTCACATATTTTTTGTTTTTGCTCTCAATGCGAGAGAGAAAGAGTCAGCTAAAAGTACAGAGAAGTGACTATGATTAGAACCAAGACAAGAGAAAGCTAGTTGCATCGCCTCCTTCTTGCAGGCGGATCAACTCCCTCTTTATCCTTCAGTCTATTAGTTAAGCACAAATAATTTTTACTTATATTCTTGCCGGTTTTCCTTACATTCAATGTATTTCCTATTCGGTTTATTTCGATGGCTCTCTAATTTTTCGTTTAGCCGTAGAGATGCCATACTCAGCAAATTGACAAGTTTGAGACCATTTAATATCGTGTCCTGTTTCTGCCCTGTGCTCAGCAAGCTCCGATTTA